ACTATTGAGATGCATGATTGAGAAGCATTAGACAAATGCTTCATCCTGGTTTCCAACTTTTAAGCAATGTACATTGTGATCGATCGAATCTTTGAATATATAACGTTTAATGTAGCAAATTTCAGCAATTAGTTGTCCGTCTCAAAAGTAGATCATTTATATAACACAATTATTGAATGAAGACATTCAAAATGAATTTCTTTTGTGCTTTTTATATATGTCAAATAGGACCGGGGTGCGTCGGTGGTGTAGCGGTTAGGACGCTCGCCGACCATGCACATGGTCCGGAGTTCGACCCCCGGCCAACGCACTCCTTTACCTCGCTAAGCCAGAAATAATCCTGGTGAAGAGGAAAGGTTGGGCATAAGGCTAGCAACCCCATCCTGTAAAAATAAAAACACTGCTACAGAAACTTCAAGCCACTAGCTTGAAGCCCTATGTTCCACTGGGGAACATGAAGGAAGAAAAAAATAGGACCGGTGGCACAGACTTATTCCTCATCTTAGACACTAAAGACTATCTCTCTTGATTGTTCCTCATTCAAACTAAGCTTAGGATATCCAATTTTTTTAATAAGATTATAAATTTCCAGACCATGGATATTACGAATTTCTTGAAATAAATTGAGCGCTGAGTCCCCTGAAGAAGCTATTGCTTACACAGAGAAACGTTCAAGAAAATCCTATTTATGCTCGCTAAACACGTGGGGATTATCTTAAGTAATTTTATAAACGTAGCTAAGTTAAAAAGATAACTTCCGATACAAGTGCATATCGCTACAGATCACCGCATCAACAAGTTTATGAAGAAAAAGATTTCTAGGAATCTTAAGAATGACTAGTACAGTAAACTATTGAGGACTTAACACCTAAGTTAGTTATTGTCTAATGATCCATACGCTTACAATGTTTGTTTCAACAAATGAAGTTGTACCTCGCTCGAATTCACTACATAGACCTAGTGAGTGAGTGTACGAAATTCTGCATTCAGCTTAAAATTTATATTCACTTGATGTGTTTTCCTATGGCTGTATTAACTGGTTGCTTTTGTTAACTCAATGAAAATGTATTGGAAATGCTGACTTCGAAACATCTATTTTGGTATTAATTTGGTATTAATACAGTCACTAATCAATATTTCTTGAGTAATTATTTAAATTTATAGAGTCGTAAACAATACTTTAGAATGGAAAACCTTCGACTGATCCTTGGTTAGTTGTCTGAATGATTTCCAACCTTTAAAGGTAGTGAGACATTTTTTGCTACTTTAATAGACAGAAGACAAGTATTCAAGTCTTGGTTTGTAGGGATTTGATAGGTTTCACGATTTCAACATGAGCTGACATTAGTTAGAGAACCATGGGAAAACCTGGGAGTACTGGACAGTTGTTTCGTCTTAATTTGGAAATCTTCATCAGTACGCACCCATTGGATCGGGTCCCAGTGGCTTAATGGTATACCAGCTTGCCTTGTAACCAGAAGGTCCTGGATTCGAATCCCTGTGGGTGCGTACTGATGAAGAGTCCCAAACTAGGACGAAACAGCTATCCAGTACTCCCAGGTTTTCCAGTGGTTCTCTAACTAATGTCAGCTCATGATGAAATCCAGAAGACAAGTAATTCAGCGAAGAGTCACTTTTTGGCGAATTCATTTTCAAAGCTGTACAATCGCAAATATATATGGTTGTTTTGTATGTGTGTGTACATTAAATTTGTCAAACGAAAATACAATTAGTAAGTTCAGGTGAATTAAGTGTTGATATAAGAGGGTAGTAACAAAAGTGATAAGTTGTCACAAACGATTCTTAAAGAAGAGTTACGTAATAAAACGAAATTACAATTATTAAGTCCAGGTGAATTGGATAAGAGGGTAGTAACAAAAGTGATGAGTTGTCACAAACGATTGTTAAAGAAGAGTTACGTAATAACATGAATAGTTTGATGAAAGAGTTGCACTCAGGGAGCACATGGAAACAAAATATACGGAATTACACAAGGGTTTTAAGTAGAAAAATAAGCATACAAACAAAAGTTAAGTCAAATCAAGCAAACGAACTAAAGTTAAGTCAAATCAAACAGAGTTGTTACCATGAGAGTAGAAGTGGTTGAATAATTTTCTTTTGTATGCACAGTTCTGGTTCCTCCAACTGAATGGTTATGGCTTCTGCGATGCAAGGAAGACGGAATCGTACTGTCTTTGGCAGGTTGTTCTTCACTTTGTAGATTACTTTCAAGCTGGGGGCGTTTGTTGAGATGGAATGACCAGTGTTGACGAGGTGTTCGATTATTGCACTCCTCATGCAACCATTACTTCCTTTCTGCAGCCACGCTGGATAGTGCTCTTTGACCCTTTTTGACAGGATGCGCGTCGAACGACCGATGTACCCGGCTCCACAGCAATAGGTGAACTGATATATACACATAGAAGTGATCAGGTGCGGGACCTTGTCCTTTGGGCTTCTGCAGATCAGCGGGCGACTAGAGAACACTACTCTCAATGTTGCCGCAAGGAAAGTTCTTCTTAAAGAGGTGGAGATTCTCCATCTAAGTACGTCACTGTGTAGGTCTCCTTTGAAGTCAAGGTTCATATAAAAAAGCTTTTTTGCAACGGATGCTGTCTCTTGTTTTGTCTACGAATCTTGATGGGTAACTGTTTTGTATGAAGGTTTCTTTCAGGAAGTTTAGTTCTTCTTCCATGGTGTCGGAGCTGCAGATGCGTCGGACGCGAGTGGCAAGAGATTTAATTAGGTTTCTCTTCCAACTGATTGGTACCCAGCTGTAGAAGCTTGTCAGTTGGCCGTTCCATGTGGGTTTCCTTTGGATGGACCTTCTTAAAGTTCCGTCAGCTCTACTTGTAAGTTCGACATCAAGAAAAAGGATTTTAGATTCGTTTTCAATTTCAAGAGTGAACTTTGTGGCTGGATGGCATTTATGAATATTTGCAGTAACTGATTGAGATTGTGACCGTCATCACAGATAATAAAGATGTCGTCCACATATCTAACATACAGTTGGAAATTGTCAGCAGCTGATTTGAGTGGGCCGTTCTCGAGGTTCGCCATGAAGCAGTCTGCTAGTAATGGGCCCAGTGGAGATCCCATTGCGATCCCATCTTGTTGTCTGTAAATAACCTCGTTGAATGTGAATTGTACATTGAGTGTACATCTCTGCAGTAGTTCTTTTAAACAAGTCGTCGGTAATCCGATGTTCAGCTGATTTTCGTCCATGTGTTGACAAATGTGACAGACAGTTTCTGTGAGTGGAACGTTGGTAAATAGTGACTCAATGTCGAGGGAGAGCATGTTGCTACTTGCTTTAAAATCTCGGTAAATGTTTTATACGATTTCTAACTACTTATTTAAGTTTAAGTAGTCTTGAATTTCACCTCTCATTTCATGGTTTATAATTACTTTATGTCGTATGCAAATATTATATTACTCATACAATTAAAATCAAAATACATAACCATGAAAACTCTACTTAATGAAACGTTTATTTTGGTCACTATAATAATGCATAACTGGCTGCTAGGAGTGTTATTATTCGCTTGGGTTCCTAGTTGGATGGGACCTCAGCATCACTTACTCATTTCACTCCGTTCTCTGAAGTCCTTTTTATCTGGATCTACAGTTGTTTGTAGGCTTTCGATTTCTGCCTAACATACTCTCGTCTATGTCATCCACGGACACCTATCTTGTCGATAATCATTCGGGTTCTATTCGAGGGTCGTAGCATCATGTCACTCAGTGGTTTCTTTTGAGTATATTAAATCCACTTCCATTTCCTTTGGCGTAATTCTTGAGCAATAGATTGGTGGTTGGTTCACTACCAACCGAGTTTACCACTTTGTCAGCATGGTCTAATACCGAAAAAAGATGCGAGGTTTCTTCGTGGGGTTAGGGATCCTATCCTGGAAAGTCAGTTCTGTTGCTACAAAATCTTCAAAGCACACACTGGTAGAAATGAGTACCTGTTAATATACAAATTAAAAAGCAGGTTATTGAGATTTTCTCTGACATTGCATTACTGAAAAAACACCCAACCTACAATGGTGTAGCCTATGAGACCCAAATAATACAAAACTCTCTTTCTGGATTCTACTGCTAGCCACTATCAAACAAATAACTTCTAGTAATCCTAATTCTCTCTGAAGGGTTATAAAGAGAAAGTTTTTGATGAAGAGGGTGCTTGGTATCTGATAAGATGTTTTTAGACAACTGATTACGCGAATATTCATGTTCCACACAGATCATATTTACATGGACTAAATTATTGTGAGTTAATTTCACTATGCTGATAAAATCTTAGAGGAAATACAACTACTTCGTTTAAATATACCGACTTCCTCAAAGAGTAATGTTAGCTGACATAGGATTAGATTGGAAAAGAGTCAGGGGTGGTCAAACCAAAACATGGCATCATCAATCCATGAAGTCTTTCACAGTTGGTTTGAACCAGACAAAGAAGTTATAAGTTGCCTGACTGATGTCCTTGGGATGCTAAAGTCAGTGGCTTGGAAGTGTTGGTGATATGGCTCAAAACCGTTTTCAGTGGCGCAGATGAACTCACTCTTCGTAATACCCCAGATCTATTAAACCCTCATGTTTTTTTCTATGCTACTATCTTTTTTTCTGTACATTTCTGTTCGGTATGGTTCCTTGGAATATATTTTTTCTCCCTCTCTATTCTCTACTTTTGTGTGCTGCATGCAATGGGACAATTTGAACCGGTACACTTTTCTGTTTGAATATATCATGAAGACGTATAATTTTTCTCTACTTGCCTGAAATTCATATGTATGGCTTTACGTTAAGTGAAATTTACTATATGCATATACTTTTCTATGGTTGATTTGTAAGGATTAGTTTTGTTTTTACGAGTTAATCATATAAACCGATCCACTCACTTATGAACTACCAATACTGTGTAACGTCTAGTATGCTATCTACTTATCTATGCATTTTAACTTTCAATCCATCTATTATCAGTCCTTTTTTACATTAATTTATAATTTTACTTTCAGTATATTTGAGGATAATGAATACCTGAGAATCAGTGTGTTCAGTTAACCTACTGAATTAATCAAAGTTCCTTTAATGTGACTACTATTTCCTATTTCCAATAAACCGTAAGCTAATCACATTTGAGCAATTTAGTTCTAAATCAGTATTCGTGTACTGTGATTATCAGAGAGACAGGAATAGATTTTCAGTGTTAGTAAATCTATCAGAAAACAACTGTGATACCTTGTTTATCTGTGCTGGTGAAGGTTTTTCTACTTCATGTCAATAAGTTTTACAATTTAAAATCGGTTGTTTCAACGTTATAGATTCCTAATGGAGTAATGAGTACAATTTTACAAAAATATCTTCTGAAAATATAACTGAGACACTATAAAGAAATGCATTTTCGGACAGTGTGCTGATAGAAGTTACTTTTAATCAGTAAAAAGTTTGAGCATTGTGCATTAGATCAAATATACACAATTGTGTGTAAACTATTGAAATATAATTATATACTTTATTTAATTTTAGTCTGTCTGGCATATAAGGTTGTCAGTTTTAATTAAACAAGACATGTAAATTTCGCGACAGTGGATGAGTTTATTCAGATTTATGCGTCAGCCAATGTATAAAGTTCCATGTTGTTATTTCTATTTCTAACCAATCAGATTATCTCAGGCACACATGTGTTGGTCTTTGTGTGAGACACATATCTCACCAAGGTCACACATCTTTATCTGTCTGTATAAAAGGCATGATAATGTTTGTATGAATCACATCGGCCTCAACTCACGCTTTATGTAGTAGGCACGCAGTATGGTGGCGAAAGATTTTATTGACCTCTTTTCGAAGTACAGTCATGGTAATCGGGTTTCAGTTGAGGATTTCGCGGATCGTTTAAATTTATTCACAGTCGTCCTCTTCCTATTAGCAACTATTATTGTTTCAACAAAGCAGTATTTTATGAGTTCAATCTCATGCTATATCCCTGTGAAGCCGACTGGTGACAATTTTAATTCCTATCTTGCTGATTATTGTTGGGTACATGGTACCATACCTTTGAGATCTGATGAAAAATTACCAAATACTCGTGAAGAATGGGATGAATATGATCGTTTAAGACGGATCAGTAAGCTTTTATTTCATTGTTTACTACTTGATGCTTATTTGTGTTTTTTGTTAATAAAAGGAGTCTACTTTATGGTAATGTCCAGTAGAATATGTATTCTGCTTTTATCACTAAGGTAGCTCGGATAATTTAATGCTTCAATTGTCACGTTTTGACCCATTTTATTTTGCGTATGGCGTTCGCGTCAACCTACATCCCTTGTTTGACTAAGTCATTTGGTGATATTAACAATCTCCTCATGATCCTAAGATAAGTGAAACTGACACGTAATGATATTGTCAAAAGTTAAAGTATCATAGATATATCATGCCTGCCCCTTTGGTCTTGGAGAAGGTGGATACAATATGTCATTCATTCCCTAGGTACTTTTTCTATAGATCTATACTGTTAGGTAGGGTTATGGCTTTTTAGATTATCGTTTAAAGTCTAGGATTAAGGTTAGGACTGTGGTTAGAGTTAGTAGGCTGAATAACAGTGTCAGAAGTATCAATGAATGTCAGAGTACCTACAGTCACCTGGATGAATGCATCTGTCACTCATGGTATGATTTCTCTATAGATCTTTTTCGATTTGTTCATTGAGAATAGAAGACTTGGAGCCTATGTCAATCATTTTCTAGTAAATTTCTGTGCTTTTCCAAACCCTTCTTAAATGAATCAGTTGAGGCTGCAGACACCACCTCTTCTGGGAATCGGTTCCAAGAGTTTATGACTTGGTGTGAGAACCAGTACTCCACAGCAATATGGTTTCCCCTTTGCTTTTGAACTTTCCTGCTATGTCATCTTAGATGTTCCGACCTGGTGGTGGGTAGGGGAAGAGAGACTAGATCAGGTCCGAAGTCCTTATTTAAAATTTTTAATGTAAGTAAATATCCTACCAACGGGATGGTTGGTAGAAGAGATTTAAACCGTCTAGTCTTTCCTCGTATGATAAATTAGTCGTTCCGGGAATCGTACGTGTTGCCTCCCTTTGAACTCTTTCTAGAATTTGAATCCCCTTTAAGACAAGGAATGACTGCTTGGATGCAGTTTTCCAGTCTTGATCTCACCAGAGATGTATATCACGAGGTGAACATATCTCTGTGCGAACTGCCCATAAGGATCCGAAACTATATAGTATGGTAGTCACACTGACAGTTCATGTCTATGTGTAATGAGTGACATTTTAGTGCATTTTTCAACGATTATTTGACTTTATTCTATCTGAATCTGTAGTTTTGGCTATGACGGTTCAACTTTGCTAAAGATTGGATTCTAGGCTTCTTAAAGAGACAATTTTCCATATATCAACGAGTTTCCCATGCGTTTTTCAGTGTTTATCATGCTATTTCTGATTGGTATACGCATGCCACGCATCATCATAAATTAATGTTAAGCAGCGTTTCAGTTCCTTCTGCCCATGCTTTGTATTCAAGTAATTACTGTAACAAAATATTCATACACAGCTGACTGCTGTGAGGTATTAGCAGTCTTAAAAACGATTGAGAAGAAATATATTAGATAGTTTCTAGTATTCTAACGAATCGATTAGTTTTATTGGTAATTATTGAGAAGAGAGGTCAATCGGTCACCAGAATAATAACACGTTCATGTAGTTATCAAATCAAAACTATGCAAGCCAGATAATTGTTTAAAATGCACGTATAGATTCCAAAAAGCTAGCTAGTTCTTAGTGATTTTTTAATTTTGCGTTGTCAGCACCGATATATTATTGCTGTTTAATTCCCGGCATTTGATGCATTCGAATCTGAAGCAAGCAAATGCATTCTTGTGCCTCCTGTGATAGCTATATGAGGCGCTCATCTCTTTCTACTAGTTTAAGTCTAACTTGTCTATGGCTTCTTTCAATGTTTGAATTAACTTGCTTAGTTTGGGACTTCTAAACTGATAAAAAACATATGGTCCTATGTTATTAGCTTGTTCTGCTGTGCTGGAGTCCTATACTTCAGGTGTAAGACGTTTCATATACCGGGCAATGAAGCACATATCGTGTAAGTACTGATAGTATTACTCCGTCAGTTGCCTAGGTTAATGTAAATGCAGGGGATTTTGAACTTGTGACACTTTGGCTGAAAACTGAGTGCTTAAGTCAGAAACTGACAATAGCCACGTAGATCAGTGTATTATTGTCGTTCTAATTGGCACTGAATCCTAGTTACACCTACTTGGAACCACTTGCAATGGTTTTTAAACATTGCTCTACCTTACAGTTTTTTCCGCATGATAATTCAGTCAAACACTCGAAGCAGCTCATATAGATAGAGAATGGGAATTCTCAAATTTGAAAACATTTCGATAAGTATTATAGCCTCGACTATACGGACAATACGTGCTAGTTGAAATATTCATAGCTAATGAAGCTTGATGTGTGATATTATTATCACTACCAATTTACTTTCATCTAACTACTATAGCGCCCTAGTAAGTCCTACTAGCTTTCAAATAAATATGCGTCATTCATATTAAAAGGATGATAGGTAAACCTACACCGTTTCATGGCGTCTAAGATTACTATCAACTGTCTGCAATCCATAACTCGCTTTTGCTTAAGGCATTCAGTGTATTGGTTGAGAAAAAATACATGCGTGTAGAGGTAGATTATCAATCAATAAAATTGGTCGATTTGTTTTTGTCTATATATCTTCTCAGTTGTCGTTGTTGTTTATTAGTTTTCTCTCAAGGTACAACAATACAACTAAACAGAGAAAATGCAAATGGATGTGTGCATAATGCATAGTACTTAAGATTTGTTTGAATCCATTTTGGTTAGTCCATTAGGTTTTCTTTCCTTACAACTAGCCCTCTCCCCGCGCCATAGTTCCTAGCCACCACCACCACCGTGTCATTGTTGTTGTATAAAGGTGGACACTGTAGAAAGCGAACAAACACTGAATGTGAAACATGTTCTGTTTTAATGTGTGTGTTGATTCGTTACAATCATTCTACGTGTGTGCTTAACAATATATCGCATATAGGGTGACTGGTTTAGTGTTTTTCTATATATTTTCTCTCTCACTTCCATATCACTTTTCACTCACGTAGACACACACTAATATCTTATGCAATTCTTTCTATTCATGTGATTGAAGTACTTTCAATGACGAGAGGGCTGTTACATTATCGCTCAATTATATCACTCACTTATTAAGATTGATTAGCCCAGAGATATTCCTCTGGGATATTTTTTGTATATGGCGTGTATTGATTTTTCTTTGTGGTCTCGATTCCATATATATAAGACTTGCATCCTTATGAATACTGTACTAACTGTAAAACCGTGGCACAGCGGTAGAATGCTCGCCAACCACGCAGGTGGTCCGGTCCCCGGCTGACGCACTCCTTTACCTCGCTAAGCCAGAAATAAATTTAGTAAAGAGGAAAGGTTGGACATGAGGCTAGCTAGCAACCCCATCCCGTAAAAAGAATAACACTGCTACTGAAACTTCAAGGTTCTAACTTGAAGCCCTATGTTTTATTGGGAACGTAAAGGAATAAAATCAATAAATTAAATTAATACTGTAAAATGGTTTATTTCTTTTTTTCTCTTCTTGGTGTTCGGTTGCTTCAGAATCAAAAAGACTTGTCCTGAGCATAATAAAAACCATTAGAAGCCCCTGACAATATGTTTTGTTACTGTCCCAGGTACAAGTGGGTACGAATAATCTGAACTGTTGTGTAAAACGACAGAGTTAGGCTATACATGTCATTGTTCATCCTTAGTTCTCATTAGAGTAGTTTATTAATGCTTATTAAGGCATCTGAATTGTGTACAGAATTAGTACTACCACTACCACTAGCTGTCGAGTCCAACAGAGGAAATACACATATTGAGCTAATCATGCTAACTATATTTAGTGTTAATATACACTAACCAACTTACACTAAAAAGTCGTCTTGTTATTATTCTGTCAAATTAAAATTCACAGTATGGTAGTCACAGTGACAGTTCATAATGTCTCTACCACTTTTTTCAGTTTGTAACAGTGTTTCAATCCTGAAATAGAGAATCTCGACGAAGAACAAGCTCACAGACAATGAGGAAATAATGGAACATTTGAATTAGGGTTTTCACAGATTTGTTGACTGACTGAGTGTCAAACATGGAAGTGCAGCAGTTCAGGTTACCACACACCATGTAGTACCCGAAGGTAGACAAAAGCAATTCAAAAGAACTATAATGATTAAAAATGTACGGGAGAAAGGATAGTATCATGAGAAGAAAACGGGAGTTTAATGGATCTGAGAGACTATAAAGAGGCTTAATTTGATCACATTGAAAATTTTTGAGTGACAGTACAGAGCGTTTTGCTAAACGATTTAACTATGGTCTGAACACATTCTAATATACCCTACACTGTCAGTCAATCAGATTTTCATGTTGAGTTTCAGGTCGTGTAAGCTTCTGTATCCTTGAATTCACTGTTCGGCTGTTTTGATATCTAACCCTCTAGAAGTGAAACTAGGAATGTACCAAATCCTATTTGTTACCGGATATTCAATCAGTTAAACATTATTGAAGTTTTTGTCATTATCAGACATTTGTGTAAATGTGTGTTATGTGATATTTCTCTCGATTATTTACCTTGGCTCCAATTTTTTTATTGCTGTTTATTTACGGTGTATAACCGGATTTCTGACTCAACTGGAACCGAGGCAGTGGGTCCAATGGGTTAGTATCTTGCCCTCCTCTTAGTTGTATCACATTCTGTGTATTTTTTGTTTTAGGATTCTTTTATCCCTAAGCAAATTGGTCGTCGCACGACAATACAAAATGTCTGTGTGTAATATTTGTCTACGTCTAAGTAACTGTAGATCACTGTGACAGTATCTCCGCTTTTTTGGCTTCCTACTAAATTCTATAGTGGTGAAGTCTTTTATCAGTTTGTTTAGGCAATGTGACTTCCAACCAGTAGGCTTCATGGTCAAAGTCATTTCCATCTACCCTAATTTCGTCATTTAAATGGTAATGTCAGCTATCAGAGAACGAACATAGCTCATTACCATTCACGTAGTTGTCATTCATCTCTCTAACACATTTCACCATCATGATTTGCTTACTTTCATACGTTTAAAATCAATACGAAAGTTTAGTTTTCACGTTACCTTTCTCATTTATCTTAACAACATCTAGCTGATCAATAAAGTTGATGGGAAGAATTCACACTGATCCTAGTTACTCTTTTCGCCAGACTAAAAGATATCTCAGCTAAAAGACTTGAGTCCTTTTTTAGAAAAAATGAAATTTCGTTCATTTATATTTTGGTCAAAATATGTGATCTATAATGTTTATTTTTACTTTCCGCTTATATTCTACAGCCTATTATCAATGGGTACCTTTCGTTCTTGGACTGCAGTGCATATTCTTTTACATTCCACATATCGCCTGGCAAGCTGTGTGTGCTAATCGATCAGGTGGAGATCTATTCGCTCTTGTAAAAGCTGCAGCTGATGCAGCCATCTCTGAACGTGGTTCACGTAAAAGTCAGGTGAAACGTGTTGCTGAGTTCTTGGAGGATATGATTGACGGTCACAAAGATTGTCGACATGTAAGTCTGTAAATTCAGTATTTATTTTGGTAGGATTGTTGTAATATCAAAATATAATTCATTTCACTGATAGTATTTTGAATTATGTCCTCTCTTTAAACTGTCTATCTTACAGCCTACAGCTATAGGTTAGAATACAGTTTCTCTCTTGTTGAAAGCGGACGAGGTTAATAAAAGGAATGTAAAGATTCAGTGAATAATATATGACCAAATGATGATATGTATCTCTGTAACACAAGTTAGTGATATTGTTCATTTGAACTGAGTTCCGTGGAACAGATTTTTCATGTACCAGGCTAAGTGCCACACTTACCATATGAAGGCCTAAGTCGAGGATGTAGTGGGCCTGAACCTTAAACCTGCCTTGGTAATCCAATTTAGAACCAAGGACCAATTTACTTCATAATATTTTCGACCCCCTCTTTGCCTTGTTTTTCTCCTTTTGCGTCTCCCTACCCATTATTTGTGACCTTGACCTGTATACGATCTGGCCTGTATTGTAATTATTCATGCCTTCTTGCATTCTATAAAAACTGTGTATGACAAGTACATGTGTGATCAGAATGTCCGAAATGTGTTTCGCCAATACATTACACATTTCAGATAAACTGTGTCTTCTTATTGTGTTGTCGAAAGTGATGCTTACAATTTTACTGTCATTAACTCTGCAGGCCAGATATGAGTTTATTCTCACTATTTCGTTTGATTGTTTTTCTCACGTGAAAGCTTTATACATTGTGAAGATACAATTCATCAGCTTTAGTTACTGAGTTTCACGTTTGAATTCCACTCCACCTACCTCAGTTCAGACAACTAGGGTTAGTGTTGAATTGAGGATTAGTGTCAGCACTAAGGTTGGAGTTACGATTAGTGATAGATTTAGAGCTGATGTCATTTATTTTATTTTGTTTTATTATCCACATTTTTCCGGTGAGTAGTTATCGATCCTCTTACTGGAAACTATAGTAATTCAACCAAGGACTTTCGGGGAAGACTTCACAACAGGATAAGAGAGATAAACGATTCACAGAGGCAGCTCATGTTAAGTCACCTCGGTGAATACATGTACAGAAACTAGTCTAACTTACCAACTTATACTCATTATAATTGGGGCGTATTTTTAAGTCATCTCAGAGAAAGATAACCTGTCTAATGTGTTTTCATGCATTTCCTTGTAGATATGCGTTATTTGTAGTGCAAAAATCACTCATTTTTATTGTTGGTCGGCTGAAGGTCACTTGTGTGTTCGCATCCCTCGGGACGCTATTGTTGAACTTCGCCGTCTTGCTTATAGATGTGTCTATGTGTGTGTGCGCTTGCAGCATCCATTCTACTGCGTTCAGGCAGTCAATGAATCAGTCATTACTGCATAACACTCGACTTTGTCATAAGCGATACCTTCAAGTTAATGAGGTACAAAGAGGTTAAGGAGGTCAGCAATATAATCAAGAGTTGTAACATGAAAAGGAGACAAACAAATGAATAGTGCCTCGATAGTTTAACAGTATTAGTACTCACCAATCACGCGGGAGTCTTGGGTTCGATTCCTTATCGATGCACTCATAAATCTCTCCCAGTTTACTGTTGAATTGTAAACCGGGTTGTAAGGCTAGCAATCCATCTGCTAAAATAACAGCACTTCTACTGCAACTGCATAGCCTGAAGCTATGTGCTCCTCTCGGAAATCAAGGGTTGGAAGAAAATTATGTATGTATTATCAGTGTACTCAAGAGATATTTGCTTGCAACACTGAAATATTGGTGGAATCCAGGACGTGCGTTTCGTCGTACTTGAAACTTACTTTACTTCGGCTATCTCCTACGGGAGGATGAGCCGGCTTCATGAACATCTCGAATCATGGTGAGAGTCGTTTGTAAGGGAGTTCATGAAGTTTCATGGGAATTTGGTACGAGTGATGTCCCCAGAATCGCTCGGCCTTTTGTTTGAGAGTGCAGCTCTAGCCTTTACACAACCAAGTGTGACCTACAAGGCAGTAGGAGTGGAGTAGGGAGTCCACTATCCATTGGCAGCCGGTGACCGGAGTTCGGCTCATACGCCTTTTTGAATGGGGCCAGACATCCAGGACATCCAACCAGCCCTTTGTCCATACGTCTGCCGGTGAGCTCCAGTGAGCTTCATACGCCAGTCGTTGGAGGTTTGGGATCAGGGTTTAGCCATCTCCCCTAGACTGTCATCCAATGGACAGTCAACCCGGTGAAGAGCGCCGGGCATCCGCTTTCGCCCTCTCACTTTGGTGAAAAACACCTCCGCCACGTGAAGGCAGTGAGTAGGACTTCCTCAGGAGAGGCTATGTAAGACGCCCGGTCATATGGGAGCATTTCAAGAGGTGTGCGGAAGGGTGGCCAACCCGCAGCGCAAGGCACCCACCCCCGACCATCCTTAGGCTTTGGACGCACCAACCGAATACAGCTAGACATCCCCAGTGAGTGATCTTGCTCCCACTGGGATTCGAACCTAGCACCTAACGTCGAAACGTTGTCGACTAATGGCACAATTCCTGTGCAATTAGGTATCAGTTACCATTCGGTGAGATTATCTTGAATTTCAGGATGACGGATGAGTTCAATGCACAGAAATGTTAGTATTCATTCAGTGGTTTTGTTTTCTCTTCTTTTATAGGGACGCAGAATGAATCTAACCAGACGTGCGTATGATATGTGTGGAATATGCGTTGTTAGTAAACGTCTTGGCACTTGTCTTGTCTTCTCTTATATCTGCGTTAAGTTAATCACCATTATCAATGCTATCATGCAAGTGTACCTCATTCAACGTTTTCTCGGATTTTATTCTGATGGCAGCGCTGGCCAACGGAGTATGCAGCTTGGTAAACCGTATGAAGCTAACGGGCAAGGTGAGTAATATAATTACAGTCCTACAAAATATAATTTATCTAACATACAAGAATAAGTAGACCGCATTCAATCGCATCCACTGGTTAACCTTGTGCATTTTTGTGAAGTTCCACTGATCCCTTAGGAATTATTAAATGACTGTAATGATTCCTATTTCATTACCAAAAGCTCTATTGGTTGTTGTATGCCAGTTTTCTACTTCTTAAATATTTACCACAATAATTGAGTGATTTATTGACTGTAGCACTCGATTCCCAACGATCGAATTCTGGATCCCGCTCTACCTACTTTAGTCTAGTTGGCTTATAGTGTCACTAACACTCACACAATAAATATGGTTTCTTAGTCTAATGTAGAAAAACTCTGCTCCGGTAGATAAGTTCTAGCTAATGTGTACTAATTGAATTCACTTTATCCTGATGAAAATGTAAGAGTGTGGTATTCCAGGAGCATGAAATTGAGCCAGAGGTGATTTAAAGCGCTGACTGTACATACTATTGTTAATTTGTTTATATTGATAATGTGTAGTAGTATCCATTCAACATTCGAATAAACCATCAACTAGTGTGTAGCTAATCTCATAAAAGTGATAAGCTGAATAACTAAAAGGTCAGACCTACATAGCACACTGTCCATTCAAAATTGTGCCGCCATATCATTAATTCCTTCTAGTATATTAGAGGACATCCAGTACTATAAACTGGCGTCCTAGTATATATGTGTTTGATAATTGCAGAAAATAACACTTTATGGACTGTAATACTATAATCCGTTAAAAGAATCGTTCGGAACATAAACCTCTTGTCCCTTCATATCCGATTGGGTATTAAGAGATCACTGTTTACGTAATGTAACAGTTCATACATTATTATTCTTATTATTCCCTTGAGTTCAGTGTGGAACATAGGGCTTCAACAACACATCTCCACTTTGTTCTATTGTCTGTGGTCCTCTTTAGCTTGGACCATGGTTGCCCACAATCTCTCATCTCCATGTCCCTCTAGGACGACCCACTCGTCGCTTCTCATTGGGATTCCCCTCAAGCCATGGCCTAGCGCGCAATGTCATTCGACAGTCTCCTCAGCGTATGCCCGATCCATCTCCATTTTCTCCTAGGTATTTGTTGAGCAATCGTCTCGTGGTCGGTTTGTTCCCAGCCAGAGTCTCTTGTTGCTAATTGTTTCTAACTGGCCGTTTGATCTTCAGTGTGGAGCCAGCTGCTGCTGATAAAAGTCTGTAACTTGTTGGAAATGTTTTTCGGGACACGCTGGCCAAGTTTCTGACCCGTACAGAAGAAGTAACTGGCTTTACATCTGTTTTGAAAATCCGAATCTTGTTTATGCTGCGGAGTGCAGTACAGAAGATTTACAAACTGGTTTCAAGTTGATGAAGGTGTATCTGGCGTATCTTACCTTTCCTGTTCTGGCCAGCTCTGACATCTTCATCCGTGCCATGTGTTCCTGGCTATATAAGTGAAGGAGGCAACCTCTGTTAAATCTCTCCCTTTGATGTTGATTGGTGCTGGTTGTTATTTCCGTCGCTGTTGGTTGGTTGGTTGGCTGGTTATCTTCATCACCTCCGTCTTCTCTGTTTTCACTGGGAGTCCTGTATTCCCTATCAGCCTCTTCTGCCAGTTTTTTGGTTTTCGCCTGTAAGCCTTCGAGTTTGTGTAACATTAGACATATTTTATCCACGCGCAAAATGCAGATCTTGTAAGAGTCATCTCATCGGTGGTCCGGCGTGCTCCTGTCTCCTCGCTCCCAGCACACAGTCTGACACATAATCCAACCCACCACTATTAGGAATATCATTGGTGATAATTTGCAAGCAGTGTTGCCTGACTCCTGTATTCACTTCGAACGCCTCGGCTGTGTTTCCCGTTGTGGATCATCTGATACGTGGTAGGCGTTGTCATATAGCCATCTGTTGATTGAGGTTGATAAAGACGTGGGTTTCTCCTTGCTGTAGTGTTAAAGTAGTTTCCTAATTACTTCTCGGTCTACGCTTTCTTTTGAAGGCCTTTCCGAAGTCGATGAAGTTGAGGTGAAGGTCTGACTGCCATTCTATGCTTTGTTCTGTGATGACGATGCATAGAGTTGCAATTTGATCAGCACATGATGTGCCTTTTCTGAATCCAGCGTTTTCTGGGCGGAGTTTTGTATCCAGTGCATCTTTCATTCCTTCCAGGATGATGCGACGAGCTCTTGCATAGACCTAAGTTGCCGTCTTTGGCAGTTTGACTAGGTAGCCCTTCTTCCATTCAATAGGCACATTCCCTTCCTTCCAAAGTTTTTGCAGTAATGGAGTGAGAACATCTTCCGCAGTTTCTGGGTCCGTTTTCAGTGCCTTGGGGGGGGGGGGAATTCCGTCCTGTTCATCGGCAGTTGTGTGCTTGCTGTTGGTGGTATTTGCGAGCGAGTTGCAGGTAATGGTGGACTCAACAGTCCTTTAAAGTGATCAGCCCTTTGTTTTATTTGTTTCTCCTTACTTAATCATACATATTATGTCTTTAATACATAATCAATGTGAATTGTGCAAATCATAAATGTATAACATTCCTTCCATCTCTCTCTCTTCTTTACTCTATAGTTGCGGCAATATCAAATCATGAGAATGAAGATTTAGAAGGTTTTGGATTTGGTTTAACAGTTGCTAATCATATACGCGCTGGACGTGATTGGCCAGAAACAATATTATTCCCACGTGTTGCCTATTGTCGTGTCCCAGGGATTCGATTAGTCGGTGCAGAAAATGCCTATACTGCTCAATGTGCCTTACCTATAAATATGTTAAATGAGAAGATCTACATCTTTTTCTGGTTTTGGATATGCTTTTTAATTGCAGCAAGTATTTTCAGCCTAGTATTATGGTTGATTCGAATGGTGATAGCACCAAGACGTAAAGATTTCATTAAACGTTTTCTACGCATTAAAGGAATACGCTCAAGAAGTGGCGCTGAAATAACACGAGCTGATTTAGATGAATTCATTGATGATTATCTTCGACGTGATGGTGTCTTCCTTATTCGTATGCTGGCAATCAATGCAGGTGATGTTATCACATCGGAGATTGTTATGGCTTTATACGAACACTACATAGATAACATTTACTCAGTGGATAATTCACCACAGAAAAGCTTAGAAAAGGAACCATTGAAGGAGGGGTCTGGGATACCACCAAATTATGTGTAATTTTGAAGAAGATAAATTGAAACAGGGGGATATGTTTTATCTACTGTCTGTCATTGTAATTTTACTATTTCTACGCGGAAGAACAAACCTATGTGTTCATTGGTGTGGACTAACATACTTCTACCAATAATAACTCTTCCCATCGCACACCTCAATTCGTAACTTTATAAGAAGGCGATATATACCGCCTACCATTTGTGTGTATGTGTGCCGTTATCATTTGCCTTTAATAACAAACTATTCGTCTTCCATTCCTCTTTTTTTATTCAATAAAAAATATAAATTACTCCATATTATATTTATACTCTCTGGATTTTTATTTGTTGTTTTTATAATCATAGACAAATCTACTTCAATAATAATTCCATACTACCCATTTTTTAATACACAATTGATTTTTATCATTTATTATTTTTATTGTTCTTTTTTATATAAATGTATTCTGAAGAGAACGTATCTATCTATAGTTGTGTGTTGTTCCTTGTCAAGCTTATTTTTAAAGACTGTCATCATAGTTTGTGTGTGTGTGTGGATGTGTGTCAATACTCAGAATTTCGATGTTCGTGTCTCCACTGGCTACTTTTTCGATACTGCCTTTTTTTGTGCTCATTTCTTAAAACGATTTTATTTGTGTAGTATTAACAGTATTATTTTTTATTGTTACGATCATGCAACCAGCAACAACTATACCACTACTACCATTATTATTATTGTTATTATTCTTTGTATCCCCCTCCCTCTGTTTTTCAATTGTATCTTATATTGATTAACCCCTGAACATTATTGTCAATTTTTGCAGTTTTACAATCTTGTGTAGTAGTAAAATAGGTCTTTTATCAATGGTCTTTATTTTTATCTGTTTCTATGGTAACGCGAACGTGGAGTGTTTGTCGATTATATTGGATCGAAATGTGCTGTTTTCTATTTGAATGAGACAACATGTCAATTCCCAGTTAAGGATACTTCGACGCCATGTCTGAGGGATTTTTAGTGGATGGTGGCTAGCAGTGGAATTGGGCATTTCGTCTTATTTTAAAGTCGTTGCACAAAAGGTGGCCGGAGTAACCTAGTGGATAGCGCTTTGGTGTTTGAAATGATACGTTCTTGGCCCGGGTTCCACTAGAGAATGCAAGTGCATCCAGATGATGAGTCTTATAGCTAGAACTACTTATCCCCGTCTACCAAATGACCTGCTACATTTCCCCTTCAATACTGTCTGCGTTAACTAAGGTATTAGTCAGAGTCTGGGAATCAGAGGAAATCCCGTCAGGTTGGTGTAAGTGATTGACTATCGCGATATACAAGAAGGGAGACAAGACTTTAGCTTGACTAATATGGTATCTAAAGTTGTAGGCTCAATAGTAGTGCGTTGACTAAGCGGTCCACGGGAGGAACAAACACGAGAGAACCAGGCAGGCCTTAGACCGGGAAGAGGGAGTATTGATCATATCTTCACACTTCGACTGATTCTGGAACACAGGTATACTTTCTGTCGGTGTCTAAAAATCGTCATATTTCTTAACCTAAAGGCAGCATTCGATTTCGTCGACTGAGAGGTACTCTGGCTGTGAAGGGAATACTGATCAAGGGACTCTACTCAAACTCATGCAGCCAGCCAGGTGAGAGCTTACGACGAGTTGTCGTCTGACAACTGTCATCACAACCAGTGGTGTCTGTCAGGGATGCCCACTGTCCCCTTTTCTGTTTGATTTCATCATTGATGTACTGATGGACGTAACCATAACTGACTTCAGGGACTGAGTTGCTACCAGGGGATAATCTTGAGTATGCAGATGATTTAGTCATTGTAGGTGAGGACTCTGGCAAAATAGAGCGGAGTCTCCCGAACACCTTTAGGTGAGCAGCAATCTTTGAATGTTTGGCATGTGATTCGCTCACTCTGTCCAATGTAATATGATGCTACAAGATTGGACTACATAGACTTGCTCCTGGCTTACAGATAGGGAGTGAGTTGGTGGGGCGTGTTGAACAATTCACTTACTTGGGAAATGTCACCAGCTAGTGTCAGCGGGCTGATCTTTGACGAAATCTCTGCACGGATACAGAAGTCTAGTTTCGCATATGTCAATTTAAGCTACCTCTGTCATAGACATGATATCCGGCTGTCGACCAAAGGACGTGTGTACTGTTCAGCAGTCCTCCTTTATGGCTCGCTGTGAGACCTGGCCATTGGAAGTGGAAGACATGGAAGTGCTAGCTGTCTTTCATCATAGGTACCTCTGTCCTATCTCCCGTGTGAAGTGGTATAATAGGGTGAGCAATATTGAGGTTAGGCGTCGAGTGTTAGGTATGGATGGGAAATCAATAGACGAGACTAGAAATTTGCATTAATTGAGATGTTACGTATACCTAGTCATCGATCGCCTTCCTCGATGGATAATGTTAGCTGACATAGGTTCAGGCTGGAAAAGAGCTAGCGGCGGTCAATCCAAAACATGGCTTCATCAGTCAATGGAGTCCACAGCAATCAGCTTAAGTCACGTAGTGAAGGTGTAGACTTCCTGTTTGGGGTCCTCGGGACTTTAAAAACCAATGGCTGAAGACAATTGGTGATATATATATATATATATATATATATATATATATATATATATATGCCTCATATCTCTGTTTACTGTCCCTATTTTGCATTTCTTTTTACTTTTTTCTCTTACTTTGTGTGCTAAATGCAAGCATATTGCCAGGACGTCATAGTAAAATAAGGAGTTGCGACTTACAGGGTGTCTAAACTGTTACGACATATATATATATATATATATATATATATATATATATATATATATTGTTAGAGAGAAGTTTCTTGAAAACATTAATAACAGTTGTGTTGTTGGGGTGGTAGCAGAAGAAAGTTAGCAATAGTTACGTAATCATATAAGAGAAGATCAAGACTAAAATTTCGGTGCACATGAGGTCAGATGAGAAGTTGATGATGTAATACAGTGAGCAGAACTCAGAAGATCAAGAAAAATTATCTCTTAAGAGACTCAAGCGAAACATAAAGGCGGCGAGGGGGAGTGAAAAGATAAGTTAACAAAATTAGAAGACAAAGAGTTACTAAGAAGTAAGTCACCAGGCTAATTGAAGTCCAACAACAGATTCTTTTTGGACACATAAGTCAGGCTTCAATCGTTTTACCGCTATAGCTTCAGCAAACCTGAGAAGACTTGAGGTGCTTTCTCTGTTAATTATTTTGAATGATTCCAGCACATCTACTCGGTGTCCTGTGTCAATCAGATGTTTGGCGATTGAAGAGCTTAAACAATTCGGTCCCTTTAACCGGAGGCTCCTTGGTACATGTTCGCAGAATCTGACGTAGGCCCTCCTCTCTGTTCTTTCAATGTAACTGCTCCCGCAGATACATGTGAATTGGTATACACAGTTGGAGGTAACATGTGAGGGGTACTTGTCAATCTTTGACTGTACCAGTGAGGAGGTTGTTCGGGATGGAGAGACTAATGACGCTGCAGGATACGTCCTAAACAGGGCTGCCCTTAATCTTTTATTTACCATTCTCATATTGTCGTCTCCCTTGTAGTCGAGCTTGATGAAAATAGTCTTCTTACTGACTGTAGCTGTATCAAGCTTCCTTAGTTCACTCTTGCCATATTTGTTAATGAAACTTTGTGGGTAACCATTTTCTTTCAAGCATTTTTCAAGAAGCATTAGTTCACTGTCTAGTTTGTTTGGTGAACATATTCTGTTCGCTCTAGAGAAAAGTGTTCGTTTGTATCTCACTGGGCAGAAGCTGTTGAAATTCAAGTAAAGACTACTCCATATGTCTTTACGATATATAGATCTTTCGAATGTCCCGTCATATTTTCTCTCCAACTTTACGTTCAAAAAATGGAATTTTTCATCATTTTCATGCTCCATCGTGAAAGTGATGCTTTTGTGTACATTGTTGAAAGAGTTTAATAGAGACGAAGCGTTACTCAAATCATTGCATACAATGGATGTATTATCAATGTATCTATAGTAGGCTGTTGTTTCGCCAATTGCACACTTGAGCTTTGTCTGTTCCAGACTGGCCATAAAAATATCAGCTAGTATCGGGCCCAGTGGATTCCCCATTGCCACACCATTAACCTGGCGATACATATTGTTGTCAGAATGGAATTGTATCTCATTAGTACATAACACGAGAAGCTGCTTAAATTCCAGTTTTGGAAGATCAGAGTGTTTACAGATGATGTCTAATGCCTCATGCAGAGGGATCTGCGTGAACAGAGAAGTCATATCGAAGGAAACCATGATTTTCTCGTGTACGTTGAGTTGACTCACCTCTTCAACAAATTGGAACGAGTCTTTTAGGGTATGTTTAGCTAGACGTTGTCTGACAGGTTATAACCTATCGGCTAACCAGCGAGTAACTTTGTGAAAGGCTGAATTCACCATTGAGAGTATTGGTCTCATTAGGCAATTCTTTTTATGTATCTTCGGCAGACCATACATATGTGGTAGACGAGACCCCGTGCGTTTCAACTCATTGTACGTATGATTGTCAATCATTTTCTTTTTCAATAGCTCTCTGAGTACTTCCGTGACTTTCTTTTCTTCCGAATCCGTCATATCCTTCCTGCAGTTTTCGACGTGTCATTCAGAATTGACTCCATTTTTTGGACATATGCATCACTACCACGCCTGAACCTTTGTCTGGTCGCAGTATGACGATATCTTCATTGTTGAGCAGACGTTTAATTGCTTTTCGGAGTTTTTTCGTCATGATTCTAGACTCTTTTGAATTGGTGAGCATAGGTACTGGTTAGAGATATCAACTAGTCTTGATTTGAACCACCCTTTCTTATCCTCACTAACGGGATTTAAGTCGGTTAACTGGTTGATGCATATGTAGACTATGAGACTGTAACTAAGCTAATGAGATATATTTATTTCATGGAAAATTCCTATTGTAACATATAAAAAATCAAATCAAGTGATTCAGCGAAGAGACTTTTTTCAACAAATTTATTATCAAGCTGTACAATCGTATATATACATGGTTTTTCAGGAATTATATCCGGTGAGGGAAATGAATCCACACCCAAGTAAATACTGTACATGATCTTGGAATTCAAAGTTGACTCAGCTTCCGATATCATGAAAAGAAGGATATCACAGTCCCTGAAAACGATATATCCTGCTGCATCTCCGAGAATAGCCTTTACTAGTCGACCATTACTCTTCAATAACCTGAAGGATAAGATCCCGCTGTTGACCAACTCTATGTGCGTTTATCAATTCACCTTCTTGTGTGGAGCTACCTATATCAGTCGTTCGACTCGAGTTTTGTCCAAGAGGATGGAAGAACACTATCGTGCATGATTACGAAGAGGTGGAAGTGGAGCAATAAGAAGTGAGACCATTGAATATCTGGTCAATAATGATCAACTTGTCTCTACAGCCTCTGTCTTTAATGTCATCTACAAGGTGAAAAGTAATTTACCGAAATCACTACGTATTCATCCGACTCATCTATATTGCTGAAGCTTTGGCAATCGAAACAGAAAAGCCAGATCTCTGTGCACAGGAAAATTTCCTTCAACTCCTCCAACTTTCATGGTCTTAATCACTTTGTGCTAAAGTATAGTAATCCCTAATCATATTTTGGCTCCACCTATTTTTCGTTTTCTTTGCTCAGTATTCACACGCTTCGTTTACTACGCCAATTGTTATTATTACTATTCTCACTTTGAACTGTCCCCGGTATTATTTCACTTGTCATTCTAAATCAACTCTGTTTTACAACGTTAAGTTCTATGTTATCAAATTTCACACAATGTTGTGTAACATTTTTATTTTTATTCGGTTTGACTACTAAT